AATTTCTTGCAAAAAGAACAAAATATGGAAGTTTTAGAAGAGAGAAAAATTTGTGTTCACAGAATCAAGTTCTTGGGGATGGAGTATGTTGTCATTTACAGAGTTCATGCAATATAATATTCAAAGTATTTTTCTGAAGACTTAATAGAACTTCAGACTACCCTTGTGATTCATTATAACATTCCTTTTAGATTTCTCTAAAAATAGATACATAAAACTGTCATTGAGTACCTTTGGTTTTGAAAGTTTAGCTTAGTCTTTAAATAATGTTGTGTCATCACCTAGAACTCCAACAAGTGCCACAGGATGAACCCAAGACATAAAGCCTTTTGTTTTGTTCTAGTGGATAAGGCAAAGTCCCCAGGGGTTGATCCCAAGCAGTTGGCAGCAGAGCTGCAGAAGGTCTCACTCCAGCAGTCACCGTTGGTCATGTCATCAGTCGTGGAGAAAGGGTCTCATGCTCACTCAGGTCCTACATCAGCAGGATCCAGTTCTGTTCCCAGCCCTGGGCAGCCAGGGTCACCATCAGTGAGCAAAAAGAAGCATGGCAGCAGCAAGGTGAGATGTGGCCCATTTCACAAGTGGCCAGTTCTGGATGTTTGATCTGGAGGGTAGATGAGAAGGGAAATGACATTCTGGAGAGTTTTCTTGTGATGGGTCATTTCCTAAGGATCTAATGAAACAAATATTTCCCTTTTCTGACTGTCTAACTGGTCCAGATTCATATTCTGCTAGATTTTTCGGAGTAAACAAGTACAAAGATAGAGAAATAATTTGGGCCACAAGGAAATAAAGGCCAAGAGTGATGTGTGATCACCTATCTGAATTTTATTCTTTTCCAACTCATGGGTCATTCTTCATGTGGGTGTCTTGACTTGAAACAAACACTTCCAGTGCTATTTCCTCAAAGTTGTTGGGAACTAATAATGGACAATGCAGTAATGCTTCAACTTCAAAAAAAGCAGATGACAATACAATGCAACTTTTGTGACCTGTCACTCTCCTGTTGAAAAGGTATTCCTGCTACCTGAATGTCCACTGTGCCATCTGTCCTAGAGCCCCATCCTACTCATTTTAAAAGAAGCTAGAAAGAACAAGGTTTCCTCTCTTAGAAATTATACTAGGCATAATGCACTGTGCATAATGCATATGTGCACTGGTATCCTTGAGATCAGTATTGCATCTATGAGGGTTTCAACTCTGGCTTCTGCTCCACAATCATTTGTCCATGATCATTCAGTTTTATAAGTCATTCTCTACCAGAATATAAAGATGGAAAAATACCCTCCCTCTCATTCCAAGGAGACCGATGGTTCTAAAGTACGTTTCTGGTCCAGCACCATATGGTAATGTGTTAGAACTGCATTTTCTTACGCAGCCTTGACTATTTCCAAAGCTGTGAATGGAGTTCCGGGACCTAGGTTTTATCATTTCCACCAGTGGTACCTGGTGCTCTTTAAGGTTGAGAATGGTTGATGCAATTACAGATGAATGGATGCCCTGCCAAGTTGAGCGGGTGTAAGTAGAGTGGGGAAAGTGGTGGCTAAGACCCATTTAGGTAAGAGGAAGAAAGGGTGCAGCATCACAAAAGAGAACACAGAGTGAAAAGAGTTTTGGACAGAAAATTACCTATCTGGGGGATAGTTGTTTACAGGCCCTTTAGGCATAAATATCACGTAGAAACAGATGATTGCAAACTGAAAATGTGAAGGATCATGCTATGCCTTTCCACTACAGTCTGTAGCAATGCCAAGCTGGCAATGGGCTTAAGGTAAAGGTACTGAGTAACAACACACTTCCTCCATGCAGTCATCACGGTAGTTTTTCTCTGAAATTACAAGTCTTCTCTTGTTCTTTTCCCTCTTTCTGTTTTTTCTTCTTTTTTCCTTTCCATCTCCATTTCTTCCTCCCTGCCTCCTAGCTACCCAGCCCGCCTGCTTGCCTGCTATTCTCCCTTCTTCCTTCCCAAGGTGCTTTCTGTGTCTCTTGAAACAATCTCTCAATTGACTGCATGCAGTTGCCAGCGGTCCTTGTTTTATTTGGCTATGTTGGTTACAAGCACCATCAAACGTAAGGACTACTTTTGCTCCCCTGACCACCTATTACAGTTGAGTGGCTTGCACAGAACAGTAACAAAAATATTTATGGATCAAAGTGTCAGTGAGCATTGGTGGTGCACACCTTTAATTCCAGTACTCACGAGGCAGAGGCAATCGGATCTCTGTGAGTTTGAGGCCAGCCTGGTCTACAGAGCGAGTTCCAGGACAGCCTCCAAAGCAACACAGAGAAAAACCCTGTCTCGAAAAAACAAACAAAACTAAAGAGAAAAAAAAAAGTCAGTGATCACCTGTGAACCTCAGTTCTTGTTATGGGTACGAATTTATAATTTTACCTTACTGTAATATGTTAGCTTTGGGGACCATGATTTAGAAGATGAAAACTCTTGAACTAGGATAGCATAAGGAAAGTGGTATTGGCAGCTGGTATGACATGTAGCCATTCTTTAATTTGGGTGTGTAGCTTTGTGATATTTGGCTGAAATACATAGTTCTAGTGTCCTGTTGTCCAAAGAGTAACTGCTAATCCCATGTGGCTGGTCTCAGCTGATATCTATGCATATGTAAATTGCAGGTCAAATCCCAGTGACTTTGTGTAAAAAAAAAAAAAAGACTGCAGTATCTCAACACAATGTCTAATTTGCTAACATGATGGAGTGATTATATTTAGGATGAATATGTTATAATATTTTCTGAATGTTTTCAGTATGATTATTAGAAAATTTTCATTACTTCTGTGACTCATAAATACACTCCATTGGTTAGCTCTAGTACAGAGATTATTTAACTCTTGGAAGTCACAATAATCAAATCTGTTTATTTTGGATGTGTGTGTGTGTGTGTGTGTGTGTGTGTGTGTGTGTGTATGAGTGTGTGTATTTTTAAGTGAAAATGTAACAGTTTACCTTAGGTGAGGACCTACTACCTATTCAATATCTTTTTGTTTCTTTTTTTGACTTATTTTTAGCAGGTACCATTTGCTAAATAATATATTTTGAGTTACCATTTGTTTCCTGTTTCCTATATGCTAAAAACACAGTTTCAGAAGCTGTCAAACCCTAATGCCAGACAACAGCAAAGCCAAACACGCCATATGTTAAGTTAACATACAGAATTAGCTTTTTAAATTATTTTATTTCTTTAATCATAAAAATAAATTAAATATTAATTGTTTAAAGTACAGTACTATATTATATATATACTACTAACCCAATTTACAATTAAATTGCATAAGATAATATGCTAAATCTAAATACTTAAACTATAATCAACATCAGCATATATTTAGATGTTTACATCTATTAAATATTTTTATTAGATGCTTTTGATTAAATATTTACATGTTTGTAGATTATTATTTTGTGTGGTGGGAGTAGGCCTGTGCAAGCCATAGTGTATGTGTGGTGGTCAGAATTATTTAACTGAACATGGAGTCCAACTCTTGTCAGGCCTGCTTGCAAGCCCTTTACACACTGAACCATCTTTCTGGAACTTTGGCAATCTTTTTATTCTAGTATATACTGGGATGATCTTCTCAGGGTAATTAGTATATTAATCACATGTGATTATTACTATTCATTCATATTGGGCATATAAAACATCCATTCTTCTAAATGTTTTAGGTAAATACTACATTATTGTTAATCAATATTGTTAATCTAAACCATATTCTCACCTAGCTGCCTCCTTTGCTTTCCTCTACCTCCTCTCTGATAAATTACCACTCTGGTCTCTATTTCTGTGAAAAATTGTGTTTAGATTCCACATGAGAGTAAGTCATGTCATGTAGTACTTATCTTTCTTCACTTGGAAATTTTTAATTCATAGATCTTACAAACAAAATGATTTTATGCTTTTTGATATCTCAGTAGAATGCCATCAAGTGTATGTCATATTTCCTTCATTATATATAATATATATTACAGTTTTATTTATTAAATATGTTTTTTCTTTTATTTCGGGTCCTGACTTTCCCCTCCCTCCTCTCCTCCCCTCTCCCCATCTACTCTTCCTCTTATAACGAGAACCAATCCATAGTCTGTATGGTTAATATATCTTTATTTAGATAAACACCAGCTAAATGCAAGCCAGAGCGTGCCCAGGGCAGCAAGGCAGCAAGGCCAGAGACAAGGGCTCCCATGTGCTTTGTCGCCCCTTCAGAGCCAATCCCGAGTCATCCTGACATCACCTTGACCACGCCCTGACAGACGTGGTCAGGCACACCTGCAGCCAGCCTCTAACAGACGTGGCTTACTGTCCCCTATATCCTCTATCTCTATTCAGAAAGGGGCAGGCCTCCTATGGCTTTCAACAAAGCATGACACATCAAGTTGAGATAGGACCAAGGTCCAACCCCAGGAGAAACTAGGTGCCAGGGAGACTCCCAGGAGTCAACAAAGATGACCCCAGCTAAGACTCCTAGTGGAGAGGGTACCAGAAATGACGGTCTACTGTAATCAGATTGGTAACTACCCTAATTGTCATCAGAGAGCCTTCATCCAATAACTGATGGAAGCAGATGCAGAGATCCACAGCCAAGCACTGGGCTGAACTCCGGGAGTCCTGTTTTAGAGAGGCAGGAGGAATTGTAAGACAGCCATGGTGTCACATTTTCTTTATCTTTTATCCATTCATCAGTTGACAAATGGATGTTTCTATTGCTTGGCTGTTGTTAATACTGGTGAAATAGTTGTGAGCATGCAAAGGCTTCTTCAGATACAGGTCTCATTTCCTTCAGATGAGTGGCCAGGAATGGATTTCTGGAGCCCATTCACTGTTTTAGAATATATCATGCTGCTTTAAAAATTGCTGTGCTAATTTGCAACAGTGCTCAAGGGCTATCTTTTCACCTTGACCTTTCTAGTCCGTTTCAACTTTGTAATAATAACCATTTCTTTGGTTATGTATGTAGGGTTGATCTCCATGTTTGGTCTGATGACTGGGGTGTTGGGGATTTTTTTATAGACCTGATCAATTGGTATATTTTCTAAGAGATTTCTATCAAGGACTATAGTCCATTTTTTATAGTTATTTGGTTTGTAGTATTGAAGCTTTGAAGCTCCTTAAATATTGAGGAAATTAGTTGTCAGATCATTTTTACGGATGTTCTCTCTTCTGAGGGGATGTGTCCATTTGTGTTTGTTTCCTTAGCTAGACAGTAGCTTGTAAATTCGATTTATTCTATTTGTCAATTGTAGCTTTCACTGTTAGCCTGGGGTCACATACAAAAGTCCTTCCCCAGCCCACTATTGAGCATTTCTCCCATATGTATGTGTATATGTGTAAACAATTGCTGAAACATTAACAATATTTTGGATGGTTGCTTTTGAATAATATATATCAAATATGAATTGTACTTATTTTAATAAGCTTTAAAATTACATAATGATAACAGAATTATTTTATGTATTTTAAAACCATTTAATAATTATTCTGGAAAGGATACACTTTATTAGAATGTTAGCTAATAACTTTTACATGATGCATATATAAAATACAACA